ATATAATAGCACTTCTTCCACCAGAAACTGATAACACCTCCATAAGAAAATCAGACCATCAGGAAACAGCAGGAACAAGAAAAGACCCAATCACTTAAACTAAAGAGCACTGGGCCATTTAAAAAAATTATTAAAACATTAAACTTTTTTTCTCACTGTCCCATTTAGAATAAATTTGAAGATATGTTTATTGCACAAATTTCTTCATGTAAGACCTAAAATCTAAAATAGAGTCTGGGTATCAAGTAAAAAGCTGTTCATATTTAGAGAGACTTCAGAAAACAGCTAACTTGAATGAAGATTTTTTTTAAAAAAAACATTTTGAGCTATTCAGTCAGTATTTTGAGCCAGTGAACAACTTCACCATGATCTACCTTGCTTACTTATTGTTCAGGAAGTAAAACTGAAGCTTCTACTATGAATCTTAAATGATAAAAGTTAGTATTCTTGAGGGATTACCTTGTGATGGCAACAAAAGCCATCTAGTGTTTTCTCTATTGGTATAAAATGGAAAAGTTCTTCTCATAATTGGAGAGAATGTGACATCGTTCTGGACAAGGCTTGAGAAACTCTTTCCATGTTAGTTTATGGTGGAGAAAACAATTTGTAAGCAAAATAGAAGGATGCTGGGTTTTGCTTCTGCTCTTTTAGTTATCTAAACAAACTACCTATTTTTACGGGAATGATGTTTTAAAGTACTTAAAGCCCCTAAAATCTTCTGGATATGGGAGCCTAAACAAAAATAAAGCAAGACCACCAGTCAGAATATTAACACTACAGTGCTATCATCTTTATTACAAGGCACTAGAACCACAAACTCTATTCTGGAGGTTAGAAAATCAAACACTTCAATAAAAACAAGTCTGATACATATTAAAAGAATTTCCTAAAGAGTGACAATTTACAGTTTACCAACTAAACAAAACAATATATAATGAATGAAACCTGCATTCCAGTGCTTTCAAATACTTTTTATGACTAAACTGATATAGTTAATTAAAGCAAGGAATAATTCTAAATATTAAGGGTTTTTTTATAGTCAACTTACTAAAGCTCTACTATTAAGATTTAATTTATTATTTAAATAATAGTTTCCTAGTTATATTTGAAAAGATATGGTAAAGTATGAACAAGCTTATTTTTCTAGTAGTAATAGTACCTTTATAGCAGGGTTCTTAAAACTCTCAGCCCGCGGACCACCCCTAGCCAAAGCAGCTGCACAATCCAGACTGGGAGTACCAGCAGGCTGGGGAGGGGACTGTCTGTTCCTGTCCCCCAAACCTTCCCCCACCCTCCCTTCTGCCACCACCGTGGCCTTTACTCCCATTGTATCTCATCCCCCAAGGGATTCAGCCTCAGATTCCTGGAGGTGGGGAGGGACCCTCCCAGCACTTCCTGCAGTGTTGGGAGATGCAGGGAAGTGAAGCACCATGAAGTGAGTATGCCTGCCGAGTACACTCTGCTTCCATATGGCCCCCGCCACTGCAGAGAGTGCAAGGGGGCTTGCCCACTGCCGTTGTCCCACACCAGGCCCACTGGTAATCTCTGAAGCCACATCTCTTGGGAGACAGGGTGTAATGTGGGGTACAGATGGGGAGGTGGCAAGAAGGGGCCAGGGCTTAAGGGATGGGAACAGACTTCCACTCCCAGACTGGACTGTGCAACTGCTCCAGTTGGGGTTATAGGATATACTGCAGCGTGACCGTTGAAAATACTGACTGATTGCTCATAGATTCAAGTGTAAAAGTACTACAATTTGCCAAACACAAACACCTGTGTACAGGTACAAACTACTTACAGACAGCATCAGAATCCAGTGACAATTAGATAAAGTTCAAAACCTAACTTTGGCCTCAATTATTAAGGCTCAAAATAACGAACACTGGCTCAAACTATAAAGAGAATGTAAAATTACCACATTTCTATTGCTTAAAGATAACTTTTTCCTAAAAGGAGAAATAGCACCTATAGCTTGTCCTGATACTTGGGCTTTTCACTAGGCAGGGGGTGGTGGGGGGAGCAGTTTTTCTTCCAACCCACTTCAAACAAACTTAAAACAAGTGATGGGTTCAAACTGGAAAAAATTTGAGGAAAAACCTCTCTCTCTCCCCCCCCCCTTTTCCAATGTCCTTAAATGCCCAGTTTTAATACCTGGATGTTTTAACAGATACATTTGCAAATTTAACTTACACTACCATTGCCATCTTAAAGTCTGGTCCCACCAAAAGCTAGCAAATGGCTTAAAATTAGATATAGAGGTCAATATTGATTTTTCTGGGGTTATTTCTTTTAAACGAAGGAGCTAGTGTGTACATGATATAAAGTTCTGAGATTAGTAACATCACTACGACCAAACAATTATAAAAAAGAATAATGAAACTGAGAATGCAATTAGCAACAGTTAGGCATTAAACCATGCCACAAGATAATTTAATTATGAAATGTACCAGAAATCTTAAAATTTAAATTTAAGTACACCTAATCAAATTAATTCATAGCCGTAACTACTTTAGGTTTTGTTCTGCAGTATAACAAAACAGGAAAACTGAATGGTAAATCTAGGATTTTTTTTTTTAATTAAGCCTATTTTTTCTTTCTTAGAAATGTATTTTTATATAGTAGCATCCTATATATGTTCAATTCTTACATATTAAAGATTAAGACTTTGTGAAAGTTAAGGTGTTTTATCTTGGTTGATGAAAAATATGAAAAAAAATATATAGACACTCAGTGCAACAGTTTAAAAGTCCACAAAAAAAATTACCACTGACTTTTTGTTGAAAATTATCAAATGTAGAATATACTGTCTATACAAAACTTTAAAAATCATTTTAAAAGACTCTGAAGGATAACTACTAATTCTTTCCCCTACTTCGCACTATTCTCTTGTAAAGGCTCTTTTTTGTCCAGCTTTCACAATGTCATCAGGAGATGCTGATTTAAAGTCAAATGGTGTTATTACTATTGAAGGGCTAATTTCCTTATTTTTTACTTCTTGTACTTGCCTACTATATAGAAAAGTCTTGTGTATATCAATTGTGTGCCGTTTACAGCCTTTTGTAGGATAACGGAGACACAAAGTTAAAGCAAAAGCTGAAGGTCTAGCACAGAGACCCTTCATCCACGAGAGAGAAAGATCCTGGCTCTTAGAAAGGTGTCCTTTTTTTCTTTTTTTATTTCCTTTAGCTAAAATGGTATTTTTTCCTTGCTTTGAACTTAAAACTTTCATTTCTGGAACTATAGTATTTGACTGGCCTATTACAGCTTGTGAAGATATTTCTGAATTTTTTATAAGGACACTTAAATCAATGTTTGTATTTACTCCTGCAGAAGGCCACGTTTCAGCTATACTGAATCTAGAGCAGTCTTTTGCATCTTGAGGTTTATCTACTTCAATGGTTTCTGCAATTAAATCCGAAAGTGATAAATTCTCCAGTTCTCTTAATGGAGAAGCCTTAGAAAATGCCAAAGACGACAGAGATCCTGTTAATTCTGACATCCCAGCTGCAGCTTGATGTTGACCAGCTAGTTGTGACCATGGTGAGGATTCAAATTTCAAATCTGTAAAACTCGTAGATGACTGGTTATAAAGATCAGACAAAGAACAACAGTGGTTTGAATTACTTTCCTTGGGCTCTTGAAGCAGATCAGCCAGTGATGTACCTCCAGACTTTGAAAATGGCAAACTACTCATTTCTGAAGTTGAGATGTTTTGCCCGGTACTTGACAGAAACGAAGGAAATTTTTCAAAAAGCTCAGTCTTCTCTACAGCACTCATTAAGCCAGGACAACTATCCATACTTCTCTTACTACTATGATCTGAAGAATTTTGGACCCTAAATAGTCCCCTGTCTTGGAGACTTAAATAATCATCCTGCATCAGCAAAGATTTCAAGTCTTGTGGCTCCTTGCAGTACAACTGCTTCCAGAGAGGACTGTCAGAATGACTAGCTTTCAATAATTCAGCACCTACAGTAAAGCAAAGTTTGCTTTCATTGCTGGAAATCAAACTTACTGTGCCAGTATTGTCTTGAAGTTGTTCTGCCACATGTTTACTGACAGAGTCATAACATGATTCCTCACACAAATCATTACTGAGGGAAGAATAAAGAACAGCTGAAGATTTATGAAAAGATTCAAATATTTGCTTTTCAACTGAGGATATATTAGAATTTTTAGCTTTGAAGAGCATTTTGTCACTTAAAGTTGAAAAGTAACAAGGTGATTTAGTTTTGACTGTCAAGCTACTGAGGTCAGATATGTTGGAGTTTGCTGAAGTGTCTTCTATTAAGACAGACAAATTATCTAAATTAGTGGAAGTTTCTGAATAAAATAAGTCTCCTTACCTTACAATAGCCAATAATTTTCAGACAGATGTATGGTCACAACGAAAATTTCCATTTTTAAGGAGGCAGCAAGAGCAAAATCAAGAAAAAACATGAAAGGCATTTAATTACTAAATGTTACTTGAAAATTGCATTGCATCAAATTTGCTATAATCAAATTTGTGAGTTCTGAAAGGTAATAATATTCAATCATTTAGCAAAATTATTTACAATTATCCACCAAAAGAAACTAAGTTAGTAAATGGGTATCAACATTTAAGATGTCTTACTCCACACAGTTATTGTGCTAGCTCTATCACCAGCAAACATTTAAAATGTCTTAAAATTTGCTGTCTTACATTAAAAAACAAAAAAAGTTAACAGATGGATAATTTAAGTAGTAACATATCTAAGGTATATATTAGAAAACAGGGATTGTGATTGCTTACATTTTAAATTAGGGGACCGAACCAAATCTAAAACATGATTTTAATTTTAGTAAAAACTACTGCTTCCTTTAAAAGATGTTCTGTATATTTCTTAAAATCCTGAAATGTATTTAGAAATATTTTGTTTAGTCAATGGGTATCATTCAGTATCCAAGTATCTTCCAGTTTTCGAGTCAGGATTATCCTATGCAGACAGTGAACCAAAACATAATAAATAAAAGCATACCTTTTGTTGTCTTTCCCATAATCACAGCTTCTTCATTCTTGGTCTTCATACTTTGCTTACTGTCTTGTGAAAGCACAAGATCCAAAGCCTTCTGTATATCAAATTTACTATTCAACACTGCTTCCACCATCACCCGCTCTGGTACAGCTTCCCCCAGCACTTCTCTCATCTGGTCAAGACACGAATAAAGATGAGCTACAAAATAAAATTATAAAATGTGTAAAACATATTTGGGATGAGGCAGGAATGGTAATTAGAAAATCATTGCAACCTGATTTCTTCCTCTGGCATTTTCTCTTACTCCGAGCACAGAAGAATTTTTCAATTATTTCAGCAAACGTTAGTATGAGAAATGATTTTAAATTGTCTTTAAAGGGCTGAACACTTAACTAGTAAGTGTTACCAACATGAACAGTATTATGGAAGAGTGCAATTATTCAACTTAAAATTAGTCAAAGTAATTTGATAAGCCCATATTATATCCATTTAACAGAACATTTTAAGTGTTTGCAGACACTATTTAATGTCTATGGTAAACAGCATCTTTTCAAGCCTTGGGACTTAGCAGCTGAATCACCATAAATACTAGCAGCTTTAGATGAACACTTTAACATTAAAGCTATCCGAAATCTTATGTTTCCTAGATTTGAGACACGTTTCTGAATGTAAAAATCGACATGATTTAAAGCCAGACTTTTCTATTGACATTACATACATTTCAGAAGTTAAAAGGAAATGAATGGAAACTACAGAATAACGTGATGGACAATCCTGTAAACAATAAACTAAAGTCACAGAACCATAGGACTGAAAGGCAGAGTCTGGCAAATGCAGATATTTGCTTTTTATCTGTGGGTATCTGATGATGCAGATATCCGCTCATTTTTGCAAGATCCAGGTGTAGATTTAGATACAATTTTTGTGTCCATGCAGGGCTCCACTGAAAGGGACCTTCACAGGTAATCCAGTCCAGTCCCAATCATGGCAGGACTAAATATTATCTACTTCATCCTGGCAGGTATTTGTCTCACCTGCTCTTAAAAATCTCCAATGACAGAATGAATGAATGTCCCAAAAATTATGTAGTACCGGTTTAAAATTGAGCATAAATTACTTATTTTTAAAAGAGACACAAAGTGAGTAAGGCAGTATATTTTATTAGATCAAACTTTTTTTAAAAAGGTCAGAAATATGCTTCATCTGGCTGTTTAGCCAGGAACCCCACTACAGACTAATAATGTTAAGAGGTGGGTATTTAATCGAGTAGTCAACAGAATTTTTATTGACGACTCAATTAGTTGATAGGCAACCTGCTCAGTCCCAGCTCATGCTGTATGCGGATCCAAACCCTGCTGTGGTTCTGCTATTTAAAAGGTAATAGGAGCCGAGCAGCCTGCCCCAGGGTTCTACTGCCTTTTCAATTCAAGTGCCACAGCAGGATGTGGTCTCAGACTGGCACAAGCCAGGACTGAGCCAGGCAGCCTGTCAGTCCGGCTCCTACAACATTGTAAATGCAGAACCTGTTGCAGCTCTGCATTTAAAAAATAGGAGAAGCAAGGAGGGCAGAGACAGCAAAGCGGGGGGAGAGGGGGATTTGAGCAGCCGACTTGACTACCTGATAAGCCTAGGCCCTTCAAGTAAGTGGGAGGATGGGGCAACACGTTGCCCCAGCCTCCCTCCCCATGCTCTGGTTGGGTGAGCAGAAGCTGCAAGCCACACAGCCCCAGGACATGAAACGAGTCCCTCCTCCCCGGTGCTCGGAGGGGAGGGCAGAAGCTGGGAGCCACAAAGCCACTCCCCTTTCCCCTTCTCGGTGCTCCAGAGGAGAGGAGCAGAAGCTGCGAGCCTCTTCTGGCTGCAGCAGGTGGGGGGAGGGGGAGAAGGCATGGCAGGCTGAGGAGAGGGGCAGAAAGTGCTGAGGGCAGCAGGAGCTGCATGGCCTTTCCCTTCTCCTCTCCCCAGTGTTGGAGGGAGGAGAGGTTGAGGCCTGCAGCCTCACCCCTCCCCAGTGCTCTGGAGGGGAGGGAGCTGCATGACCTCCCCTGTCCCGGTGCTCTGAGGAGGCAAAAGGAGGGCTGGTGAGCATAGTGAGCAAGGGGTGCAGCCCCCTAGTGATTAATAATAATTAAAGTTTCTGACAACAGGTAAAATTCTATAATGGAGAAAAAAAGGGGGGGGCAGGGCCTCCAAAGGAAGAGGCAGGGCCAGGACACTTTGAGCTTCCCCACACACAAACCATGATCGGTCTGGGTGTGGGGGAGCCCCTTTGCTCCCCCTTCCCACTAAGCTCCCATGCCCCTAGCTGTGGGAAAAGATTTCCTGTACTCCCCTATCTCCAGGCCAATCAGGACTGAAACTGACATGATGGACAAGAACTCTTGAGATGACAGAGGAAAATATGAAATTATAGAATCAGAATTTCATGTAAATCATGTTCCCATTACAAAGTTACAGGAAGGAAAATGTAAATCAATACACATCTGTCCCATTCATCCGGCATGCCAAAGAACAACCTTCAGACAAACAGTAGCAAAGATAAGAAGACAAATGTTCTCATGCAAGCATATACTCCTAAATCTAACAAAGAATTAAAATATTCATTTTTAAGAATAGCCATTTTAAGAGAAATTAAATGCATAAAACTAAGATAATATAGTATCCATGTCCCACAATAAATATTTCATATATCAAGGGTTACAGAAAGGCTATTTGTGGCCACCTTGTGCATTTGTACTTGGGGGGGAGGGGATGATGCATCTGTCACCTCAAACTTATGATCCTCTCCTGAAAACCCTATCTGCTGGGGCTGAATGGTCACCCTCTTTTGGCAAACATTCAGTCTCCATAAGGGACTGCAGCTCCCAGTTACCTCAGTTCCTTTTCCTGAACCACATAGCCCTATGTACATAAAGAACTATCAGATAAAGAAGAAGATAGGAGGAAAGCGTGAAGGGGCAGAAGTAACTTTCAAATAAATAATCGCTAATTCTGGGTACTAATCAATGCTTTTTTCTTCAATGGCCCCTGCATATTCTGACTGGTGTGGGATTAGTGAGCAGGACAGCCCCAGTGGAATAAAGCCTTAGGAATTCTCAGGTCAAGACTCATAAAACAGTTCTCTTAAACCCATCATTAGAGCATGAAGCTAAGTTCAAGGAACAGTTTATCAAGTTTATAGGGTCTGTCTCCCAGAGCTTCTTGGAGTTTAGTGTCCTGTTCCAGTATAGGCTGTAATCTATTGATAATGTGTTGGACAGGTATAAGTTGGGAGCTGTAGGTGATGACAAGTGGGGTTCTATTGTTGGTTTTCTTGGGTCTGTCTCGTAGTAGATGGTTTCTAGGTATTTGTTTGGCTCTTTCAATTTGCTTTTTTATTTCTCCAGGTGGGTAGTTGAGGTTTATAAATGCTTGGTAGAGATCCTGAAGTTTCTGGTCTCTGTCTGTGGGATTAGAGCAGATGCGGTTGTATCGAAGGGCTTGGCTATAGATGATGGATCGTATGGTGTGTGCTGGATGGGAGTTGTCCTATAGACAACCACCTAACCTCAAGATGATTCTTACCAACAACCACAGGTCATACCACACTAATACCAACCCCGGTACTTTCCCTTGCAACAAACCCCGCTGCCAGCTTTGTCCACATATTCACTCTGCTGACACCATTATTGGGCCTAACCAAGTGAGTTACAAGATCAAGAATACATATTCCTGCGCCTCCAGAAATATAATCTATGCTATCATGTGCCGAAAGTGTCCGTCTGCTATGTACATTAGACAAACGTCTCAGACCCTTTGCCAAAGAATCAATGCCCACAAAACAGACATTAGACAGGATCACAAAGAAAAAACAGTTGCTTGTCATTTCAACCAGAAAGGACACAGTCTCAATGACCTGCTAACCTGCATCCTACTTCAGAAGACATTCAAATCTGTACTTGAAAGGGAATCCTCTGAACTGGCATTCATGCTAAAATTCGACACTCTCCGCACGGGACTTAAAGACCCCAGCTATCTTACACATTACAAAGATAGCTTCCCCAATTATCACCTCTAATACTATTAACTCACAGACATTTCCCCTTCCCCATCTCTAATATCATTAACTCACTGGCATTCCCCTTCCTTCCCCCCCCCCTACATCCCCCTTCTGTTCTGTAATGTGATTTGTCCTTTTCATGTGTGTTCATTTTTTTTAAATTGTATCCTTTGGTATATATGGTTGTGACTATTTTCTTCCATTATTTGATCTGAGGAAGTGGGTCTGGCCCACGAAAGCTCATCATCTAATAAACCATCTTGGTAGTCTTTAAAGTGCTACATAGTCCTGTATTTTGTTTCTTATATAACGTGGTATAGCAAATTAGTCATTAGGATTTGTAGTTCTTCACTAGTTCTCCTGATAGAAGTGACAATCATGCGAAATGCCATTTTAGAAAGAGAAATGTGTATGCTAACACTATTGTCTTTATCAATTAAACTTGTAATCTCATCCAAGAGAGATACCAAATTAGTTTGACAGGATCTATTCCACAAACCCATGATGATTGGTATTAATTACATTACCCTCCTTTAATTCTTTATTAATTGTGTCCCACGCCAGCTGCTCCCTTGTCTCGCCCAACATTAGTGTCAGGCTCAATATCTATTGGTCACTTTTGCCTTTGCTCCATTATTATTAAGAATTCTACCATTTTCATCTAATAATGGACCAATACCATTGCCAAGAGTCCTTTTGTTCCTAAGTTTTTAAAAACTCCTTGCTGTCCTTAACACTGCTGACCATAGATTTTTCCTTGTTTCTCTTGTCGTCATTTTACAATTTCTAGTTTCTCTTTTCTTATTCTTGTTATATTTATAACTCCCTTCAATTCCCCACTAAACAAGATTGATTTTTAAACCATTACAACCTTCTTCCTCATTTGTGTCTTTTGAAACATCTTGTAATATTTATAACTCCCTTCAATTCCCCACTCATCTTGTACGGTGTTTTTAAACTATTCCCAATTCTCATTCACATTTTTCTGATTAAATTCTTCCACCTAGCTGACTTAGCTTATAACTGTTTTCAGTTTTGCAAAATTAGCCCTATTAAAACACCAACCATACATATTACTGCTCTGCACTTTATTCAGCTTGCACATTACAAATGTGATCACGTTACGATCAACCATACTCATTCATACAGTCTATTATACAAGTACCAAATGGCATTACTCACGCAATGTCATTGTCACATTTTTCAACAGGGTTTGTGAACTTGAGGCAAGCAGAGCACGGATCCCCTTAAGTAGAAATGTACAGAAGCTCTCAAAAAAGAGGATCCAGTATTCAGGCCAAAGTTAACTTAGATATATTCGATAAGATAGGTGCTGCATGATAACTAACCTACAAAAATGCATATTTAACAAAACAACTAACAATGATATATGTAGTACTGTATAAGCAATGTGGCCAATTGAACAATACTGTAGAAGCCCTATCTTCCCCATTATTAGCTAGTGCTAACAAAGTACTGGAGAGCGTAATAGTGGGGGTCCTTCACAGACCACCAAATCAAACCAGAGAACAGGATGAGTTACTAATTAGACTCTTCCTCAGAAACACATGGAAAGAAAAACTTGTATGGATAATTCAATTTGGGAAATATATGCTGGAAGACTCATGCAACCATTAGCAAAATATTAAAGTTTCTCAATCTTATTTACAAATACAGAAAGTATTGCATTCATATAAGATAACTACTTGGGACCTCATTATAGTAAATAAATCTGAATTAATCACTGGACTCAGTTTGTGGATGACTAACTATTCCTAATTACCTAATTATATTCAGGTCTTTAAATCACAGTAGAATGAAAATAAGATTGATTGTTCTTAACAATTACCTTGATCGACTCCAGTTAGCTGGTGATTGGATGTAAAACAGTTGGCAGATTCTTCTGCACCTTCATAGCCATACTCTTCTTCTAATGGCTCAGCAAGTGCTGAGGGTTTATCACGTCTTGAGTAAATAAACTGAGCAGCTACAACAACCAGGAGCAGTATATTAAAAATAATTTCCCTTGAAATAAATATCCCATTGTTTGAATACAGAATCTAGCAAAAGAAAACATGTAATGACAACAGCGTGCATCAATTAATATGCAAAAAAATCTTATTTTGCAATCATTAACTCAGAGCATCGTTCCTGCAGGCCCACTTTGAGAAAGCTACTAGCAGGCTTGCGCCGCTTTGTTTTCCTAAAAGGTCTGTAGTCATACAGCTTTATGGCTGCCGCTGGCTCTAGTTCGCCATTTTCATTCAAGGGCAGCTTTGGGAAACCCAGGGAGCTCCCACTGCCACCCGGGGCTCTGTGGTCTCCCCAGTAGCTCCTGGTACCGCCCGGGGCTCCGTACTCTTCCCATCCCAGCAGCTCGACTGTTGCTCTGGGGTGTGAGAGCGCCACTCCCACCCAGCCGTTCCACGGTTGCTCAGGGCTCTGCATACTGCCCAGCTGATCTGCTGGCTGCCACCCTATCCCAGATGACTAGGGGCTCCATGTTGTGCTCAGTGGCACTGCTGCTGCCCAGGGCTCCTCTTTCTCAGCCCTCTAGTCTGGCAAAGTTCCTGGCACCAACCCACTAGCTTATTCCCATGAGTGTTCCCAGTGGTCACTCTGACGATGCCAGAGGTATTGCCAGAATAGGGAAATCCAGATTACAGAGTGTCAACCTGTATGTTCTACCTATTCATAAACATTTATTCAATTAATTCAGTCAATTTTTCTGTTCTTGAGCTTTAATTTTTACAAATTCAGGCCATGATTCAAAGTACCTTAGCACACATTTACATTTTTGAAAAATGTATAAACCCCATCCTTAATAAGAAAGGTGCCTAAATTATATGCTTAAAAGCTTTGCAAAATTTAGACTCTAGTCATTACTCATAATTTTCAAAGTTTATGTGAAATTTCAGCTTAGGAGTTGTCTGTGAACATTTACTACAATTTGCTATATTGTATTTATGGTGTGTAAGCAGATTCTTGAGACACTTGGTTTGTTGCTACTTTGTCACTGGATGGCTGAACCTTTTTAAATGAGAAAAGCAAATCTTGTCCACATGCAAATATTCTGGCTTCCATGCAAAAACAATAATGTAGTGATTCCACAAATGCTGATGCAATAATAATTTCCACAGAAGTGTGCAAAAATAGCAAACACACACAGTAACTACAAAGTGAACAGCTATTCGTACCCCATTACATTATACTCGCTAAGGAACCAATTAGCCTTGGCTCATCAGTTAATCCTAAGGGTTACACACACCTCCTCACCCCCAATCTCGGTATCACAAGACAGATGGGAGGGGGCAGGCAGCAGTTGGTGTACATGGGACACTAGCTTTTAAAAGCCTGCACACCACACGTACCAGCTCAGGAGCCAGTATGCATGGGGAGCCGGCTCCTCAGAACTATGCGCCACCCCGCCTGCAGAGCCGCCCTCCCTGCTGCACACACCCTCCCCCATGCTACTGCCTCCCAGAGGCAGCAGCACAGGAAAGGGGGTGGCAGGCGGGAACCGGTACTTGCTAGTCCCAACACTTGTAGATAGCCAGCTTTAAAGCCAGATCCAACCTGCCCCCCCGTCACCTGTAAACATATAACCGCTGTAAAGTTCAGCAGTTCAGCTTTTTAACACCCCTAATACTCGCACAGTTAACTTTTATACTGTACACTTACCAATTTGATAATCTCATCTTTTAAGTTATAATCTTATCAAATGTTTCTTAAATGCTCATCATCCAATGTTTGATAGTCAATCATTTTAGTTGCCACAACTATTTGCAAAGCTATCTTTCTAGATTTAACCAGCAAATCCCAATCTTCCCTATATTTTGTCATCTATATTTGTCCATATTTTTCCAAGTGAAAATTCCATAAATAAACATTTGAACTAACCTGTTGACGGGGAAATACAACAATCATCCTCTACCGATTGGCCATAAAGATCATCATCTTCAAAATCTAAGCAACAGGAAACAATAAGAATTAATCTACGTACACTTTTTAAAATATTTAACAAGTAAGGAGTATTTAGAAACAATTTCTTAAGTATTTTTTAAAACCCTCTCCCCAGTTATATTAGAATTATTCCACTTCAATATTTCTAAAGTTACACTGACAAACAGCGAATCTTTACTCAGTAACCAGTAAGAATAGTAGTATATATAATAGTGTCAAAATATATTTAATTACGCAATCATGTAACCGCTGAAAATTTCAGCGGTTACACATGTATGGAAGTCAGAGAGTGCAGGGAGCCAGCTTTTAACCCAGCACCCATCTGCCCTCATCTACACTGCTGCCTCTGATATAGATGCAGTAAGTAGCACAGGGCCGCAGGTGGCTCCCCAGGAACCGGTGCGCATGGGAGCTGGCGAGAATGGGTTCGAGCATACCGGGAGCCCATGTGCAATAATGAACATTAACTGATGACCCCAGGGTCATTTGTTAACCATGTATATGGTTACACTTTCACGTCCCTAACTAGGGTCATTGACTAGTTGCTCCCCACCCCGCCTTGCTGTCTCTATCAGGTAGGGTGGGGAGGAGGACTAGTGAAGGAGCCAGTGCTGGAGGGGAGCAGACTTAAAAGCTAGTTCCTCCTAGCACCATCTCCACAGGGGCAAGAGTGACAGAAGTGTAGCGGGGGACTGGGAGTAAGCCAGGACTCAGATGTCCCAGCTCACACCCGATCACAAATGCTGCGCCTCTGCTTTTTAAAATGTAGTCAGAGTTGCAGGCAGCTCTTCCTACATTTCAAAGGCAGAGGCACAGTGGAGAATCCGGGGCAAATGGGGACTGCTTCAGTCCCCACTCAGGCTGGGTTCTCCGCTACTCCTCTCCCTTTGAAATAGGGATGTTAAATTTCAATTAATCAACTAATCAAGTTGTCAATGGAATTTCCATCCACTACTTGATTAGTCGATAAGGGAGGAGGGAGCGAGCACTATCCCCGCTGCACCTCTGCCTTTTAAATGTAGTAAGAGTTGATTGAAGAAGAGCAGCAGTGACAGAAGCAGTCCCCACTCGCCTCCCGTTCCTCCTCTCTCACAGGGCTCTTTCTACATTTCAAAGAGAGAGGCACAGCAGTCAGACTGGAGCGAGCAGGGACAGCTTTAGTTCCCGCCCGTCATTTCCCCGCTGCACCTCTATTTTCCCTGTCCTGCCGTGCAGATGGTACTGGGAGGAACTGGCTTTTAAGTACAGGAGGAAGTTTGAATTTGGGTACAGATAGGGTGCTGGGGGTACACGTGAAGATGGCATTATGACCTGGGGTAGGGGTTAGGGATGTTAAATGGTGGGTAATCAGCTAATCGAGTAGTCAATGAAATTTCCATTGACTACTTGATTAGTCAACAAGGGGGGAGGGAACACTGAAAAGCCAGATGTGGTTAGTTCCTGGCCCGGGAGATAACCCTGCTGTGGCTGTGACTTTTAAATGTATGAAGAGCTCCCGGGGATCAAGCCTCCCCCCAGCACCAGCTCCTGGCTTCCCCATCCCTGCCCGCCTCTCTCTGATAGAGGCAGCAAGGCAGAGGGGGGGCAGCAACTAATCGAGTCATTACTCATCTACCCAATAAGCATATTTATCGGGTAATCAACTACTTTAATGGTTGCTTAGATCCCTAGTAGGGGTCCTGGAAGCGAAGTTGGATGCAGGAGGGAGTTGTGATCTGGGACAGAGAACTGGGGTGCAGGAAGGGGTGCCAGGTATAGGCTCTCTCCAGGAGACCTTTCCCATAGATGACTCCCAGTAGGTGGTCCAGTGGGACCTTCAGGCAGGTTCCCTGGCTGCCGTGGTCCAATACGCAGCCAGCTACTGGGACCAGCATGCATGTCTCTGCCCTGTACACCCAAGAGGCGATGGGGAAGTCTCTACACCCTGCCCCCATTCCTAGCTACACAGTCTCTCATAAGCCAAAGACTCGCAGCTCCCCCTTCTCCAAGTGGCGCACATAGGGAGGAGACACACATGCTTGTCCCAGCAGCCAGTTGCTTTGAGTGGCATGCGGGGCCACAGAATCCAGGAAGCCTGCCCAAGGAGTTCAATGGTCTAAATGTTTGGTGGGCCATATTTTGCCTGCCTTATTCTTACCCAAAAGAAAATGTAACTACAACTGTACTTCTATTACTGAACTATATTATATAACAAATGGTACAGACATTATTTCAGCCAAAAAGCAAGTATCTTATACCACTACTGACATACAAAGTACATTTTCCCATTTAAAAATTTCTACACACTCTCAACAGATCTAATTTGGTCTAACCTGAAGAGTTTAATGATTTCCCTAGTATTCACTAGCAGGTAAAGAATACCAGTATTGCCATCCCCCAGCTATCCACAACCTTTCAAATTAAAGAAATTAAAACACACACACCTACACACACACACACACACACACACACACACACACACACACACACACACACACACACACACACACACTGTTCTGGACGTGGGAGAATTTCCCCGCCCCCCCCAACACACACACACACACACACACACACACACACACACACACACACACACACACACACACCCCATGGCATTACCTACTTTCTATACGAGCAACTTTAAGAAATATAATGTAATTTCTTTCCTATATTAAATTTATACTTCTTTTTCTCTTATAGAAGGGTCTCTTTCCTATTTGTTAAGTAGGGATGAGAATAGTTAACCACTAAGCCTCATTTAATTTAATTTAATAGGCGAGGATTACCGGTTCGGGTTAATCAGTGGGGGCTTGAGCATATTCCCACCCTCTGCAGGCCCACTAAGGCGGAGAGCACTCCACCCTGAGTAGAGGAGCCCCTGTTAGCGGCGGTCCTACCCTGGATCCAACCCTAAGGCAAAGCCCTCTCCCCCTTTAAGTTTAACTGGTTAATCAATTAATATTAGGGATGTAAAATCCCATTTAAGTATGATGTTCCCTCACATCCTTTTTGTTCTCTGCATTTATTTACATATTTTTATCTTTTCCCCTTATATTGTGATCTATTTTATAACACCTACCCCATATTTGTGTGTCTCCTTCTCCCACTCATGAAAAATCATTATCAGTTCTGCATTTATGAAAATGTATCCTTTCCTATTAGTTATTCCAAGAATAAGAATTTTACTGACTTTTAGAGAAGGAATGGAAAGCATTTAATACTGAGTAAGCATCTGTCCAGCAATCATAGAATACTAAAACTGGAAGAGACCTCAAGAGATCAAGTCCAGTCCCCTGCCCTCATGGCAGGACCAAGCATGGTATATATCATCCCTGATAGAGGTCTGTCTAACCTGCTCTTAAATATCTCCAGTGATGGGGATTTCACAACCCCCTAGGCGATTTATTCCTGTGTTTAACCACCTTGACAGTTAGGAACCTCCCTTGCTGCAGCAATGTTACTGGTCATGTAGATTTTCCTTCTGTTTCCTTTTAAATGTGAACTACAATGTCATTAAGTAACAACCTTATCCTCAACTGAATAAACTCATTGGCCTTCTTGAGAAGAAGCATGATCTATTTTGAAGGAATTAACATAAGATTAAGAGCCAACATGTCCTGGCCCTTTCAATGACTGTTCCATCTCTTGCCTCATTTCTCCATCTATAAAACGGGTAAATTTTATAACAGTATTCGGAAGATTAACATTACAGTTCAATGGACATGTAAAGCTATGTAACGGTAATATTAATTATTTCTAATAAATAAGTTGATGTCTCTTTAGATCAGGATATGGCTCTCAGATGTCATTTACAGGAAGAAATTATACTAAGAATATGGAAAAAGGTAAACATTTTCAAGGTTTAGTATTTACAAGTAGATAGTGAACAAATACAGAGAACATATGCTAAAATATTGTTTACAGGAAGTTAGTGTACACACAGTTTAAAATATTTATATAATTTGTTTCAAAAAGTCATGAAGAATGAAGTAGTTAGCGTGCTAACAAAACAATGCACAGTCCTGAAGATCAGCTCCTACATCAAAGCAAATGTTGTACTCTTCCCTACAAAGAGCACTCAGAGACCTGGAGAATTAAAGGCTTATTGTTCTAACTACATGAGGTGGCATAGACAAATCAGCTTTTGTACAGAATAATCATACCTATACAATCTATAATAATTCCTTGGTTATGTCAATAATAACCCAGTGGTAATGGATAACTGGTTGTCATATTTACTTGGGCTTTCATTAAACATTTGACAAAAGTTTGTCACAAACAGCTGCTAAGGAAACTAAGTAACAGTAAAATAACTACTACCATGGATTATAAACTGTTTAATTGAGGAGAAGGAATCATTTTTTAACATGATCAAAGATTAACAGAAATGTGTACCATGGTTCCTCACTGAGACTGAGTATTTTAAAGTACTTCCTATCTATCTGGAAAAGGGACTGGCTAGTGATGTGGTAAATTTTGCAGATGAAACAAAATTACTAAATTAGCCAACAGGAGAGAAATTAATGATGAAATTCAAATGAAATAAACTAATACACACTGGTAAGTGCAACTGTAATGTTGACAAATGAAAAATAACAAATCGGAAATAAAAATTTAAATGCGCTCCTTTATTCAGTCCTAAAATCAAATGGAACTTGTTAGGAAAAAAAGATTAAATAGCTTAATGAAAATATCTGCTCAAGATGCAGAGATGATCAAATTAAAAAAAAAACACATGAAGAAATAAAATGTTAAAATTCATGAAGAACAAGACTGAAAATAGAGACATTTTAGAATGACTTTATGTAAATTGGGGTTGGCAACCTTTCTGAAGTGGTGTGCCAAGATTTAACCCTCTTGCCCTGGGCCACTCTCCTGGAAGTGGAGGAGGGTCTCTCAGTGCACCCTGTGGACCACCTGGCTCAATGCAAACCTTTCCACAGACCACTAGTTGCTAACAGAAACTCACTGTTAATTACATACTTACGCCTGAGCCATTTTGCTAGTGCTACAGCTAGGGAGAATGATTTAAGTTAAATTATTAAACAGATTAAGCATTTTAACTTTCTCATGTTAGTTTATCAAACTTCATTTTAAATAAATTATTAATTTATATCCAACACAAAAGGTTTCAATGTTTTCTTTATTTATGGCAGGGGTGGGGAAGAATCTTTTTTGGGTTGGGGCCACAAACCCACAGAAAAATCAGTTGGGGACCACATAAGTGAGAAGCAAAAAAACTCCTCCAAAAAACCCCAACCCTCATTAATGTTGCCCTCAACTGAGACACCTCACTCCTTTGATACTCCAGCCTCAGACTGAGAGGAAGGAACAGGGAGGACTGAGATTCATGGCTTCCCATAGACCAGATTTACTTTTCTGGGGTTCCAAAGTTAGTGGATTTTATGGACATTTTTGGCTCTGGGATGGAACAAAAATGAGGGGTTCATTGTGCGGGATGGGACTGCCTATTTTATCCAGCGAGAGGAATAGGGATGCTGAATCTGGGAAAGAGGTGGTGTGTAGGACAGGGTGAAGAGGGCAGGGTCTGGAAGAGTTTGGCAGCAGGAGAGGGGTGGAGTGGGGATATGAGTACAAGGGGGAATTTGGGGGTGGGAGTAACGCAGAAAAGGCAAGAGGGTGAGAATGCAGCCACATCAGTTGGGGAGGAAGGCAAAGAAGTGGGGAAATAAAGGAAAATGCAACTTCTGCAAAGAAAAATTGTATTCCCCTCCTCCGCATCTCTCTACTCCAGCCTCACTCCCCTCAGCCCATGGTCCCTGCCCAAGCTGATCCCCTGCATCATCCCATTCCCCTCATTGCAACCCTTGCCCCTCCCATCCTGCCCCTGCATCCTCCTTACCCATACATCCCTGTGCTCCCAGCACACTCACCGGCAGGGCAGCAGCGCTGGGATTCACAGCCCCCCAGGAGCAGCACTAGGGTAATGAGGGGCTAGGGGGTGGAGGTGGCAGAGTCACTTCCCTGCCTGGCACAGCCCTTTGCCAGGGCTTGCCCCTGACCTGCAGCTCCGGGGCTGGGGCAAGCAGAGCCCGAGGCTGATTCCAGAACAGCCAGGCATAGGAAGATGCTGGGGAAGGGGTTCCCCGCACCCCGCACACACCCTACGGGGAGCAGCGCCGTGCACACCCCACAGGGAGTGGCCCTGCACTCCATGTGTGACCAGCTACCTAGCTCAGATCTGTAGAGCAGCCCCAATCCCACCCTCCCACTGCAAGAGGCAGAGCCTGAAGCACTGGGAGCAAGATTAATCCCATAGTTCCCGGTAGCTGCACGCCCAGGCCCTGGACCCTATGCAGTGCACCTCTCCCATCCTGCCCCTCTCCCTCCCACAGCAGGAAGCCGGAGCTGGTGTTCCAGCCTGTAGCTGCACGGCAATCCTGAGGCTAGCGGGGCTGAGCTCCCACCCCACATGCCACAGAAAATCAGCTCGTGTGCCACTTACGGCACGTGCTGTAGGCTGTAGTCCAATGGTACTCCCTTGTCTGAAATACTGCCTTCAGTCCTGGCCACATCTCAGGGTACAGCAGAAACAGAATAGGTTGAAAGAAGAACCAAAGCAGCGGGGGAGGGGTGAAGAGGAGGGAAGGGACCAACCAGAGGCCTGGAAGACTTCTGTATAATGAGAGCCTGAAAAGACTGGGACTTTTTCCTTTTAACAGGAGACAATAAATGGGCTATATAAAGATTAAAACATGATAAATAGTATAGTGCTGATAAATTGTATGCTCTATTTATCTCTTTCATAATGAAAAATCAAAGCACATTCACTGACCTTGAAAGTCAAAAAAATTAATTTTTTTTAAATTAAGCATACTAATTAACCAGTGGAACTCATTGAAAAAATATCAAGGATGTGAGTTTAGCAGGATTCAGACGTATACATGTATAATAAGCACATTATCTCTATAGAGAATGTAACATAGTTACATTAAATAGAGAAAAATAGAAAAGGTATGAATTGTCATGCTTCACAGCATAAACCAGGTATTAAGAAGCTTCTCTTATAAACTTGCTATTTGCTGGTTATCTACCTTGGAATTGCCCACATCTTCTTTTGAAGTATTCGATACTGGATACAGGCTGCTAAAGGCAAGATACTGAACTAGACAGATGGATCACTGGTATGATCTCTTATGGTAATTCTTGTGTTCCTATCATTCCCAGATAAACAACAGGTATATCAATTTTTACATAAATACAAAATCTAAAACTAGGGATGTAAGTGACTAGTCGACAACCCAATAAGTCTAGGCTTATTGGGTAACTGAGTCACTACTCAACTAGTTGCTTCCTACCCCTTTCTTCCTGCCTCTTTATCAGAGGCACCCATTGAGGGGGCAGAGCAGGAGCTAGTGCTGGGAGGAGTCAGCTTAAAATCTGTTCCCCCCAGCACCGTCCCCGTGGGAGGGTAGGGGAGGCAGAGAAGCAGCGGGAGAAACATTGCAAGCAGGGACCAAAGCAGTCCCACTTGCGTGGGGTCCCAAATGCTGCACTAGGGATGTTAAATTTAGATTAACTAATTGAATAGTCAATGGGATTTCCATAGATTTTTCCTGCTGGGCTCTTGCTACAGTTCAAAAGAGGAAGTCCCGCAGGGAGTGCAGGGTCAGCAGGGGACTGGCCCAGAGATCCCTGCAGCTCCTGAGCCTTTGAAATGTACAAAAGCCACTGTGGGGCTCTTGAGAAGAAGGAAGCACTGCAGAGAGCGGGGTACCAGCAGGGACTCCCCCACTGGCCCTGTGCTCCCTGCAGAGCTTCTGCTTTTGAAAAGCAGAAAAGCAAAAGTGGCACAAGTGAAGACTGCTTCAGACACCACTCGCGCGGTTTCCAACTGTGCCTCTACCTCCTCTGCCACCCGCATCGATTGTGCTGGGGGGAAACCGGCTTTTAAGCTGGCTCCCCTCAGCATTGGCTCTGCTCCTCGCCCCCTTGCCACCTCTCTCTGATAGAGGCAGCAAGGGGGGGATGAGGAGAAGCAACTAGTCGCATCACTAGTCAACTATCCGATACACTTCTGCTTATCCGATAGTCAACTAGTCACTTACATTCCACTGCACCTATCCCTTTGAAATGTACAAGAGTCGTGGGCCGCTCTTGTATATTTCAAAGGACGAGGCACAGTGGGATAGCAAGCACCCTCCACCCTTTATCAACTAATCAAGTAGTCGATGGAAATTCCATCAACTACTCGATTAGCTGATTAATCAAAATTTAATATCCATACCTAAAACAAAATTGTATTACACCCCCAAAAATAGTATTGATCTTCTCTTTGGACATTGCCAGATGTATTTATAAATAAGTGTGGCAATTATTACTATATCCATTTTAGCCACTGAAAAATTATTCCCCCTCCTTTTGTATTTATGAGTTTTAATTGTAGAGGATAGAGGAAGAACAGCAAAATTATTAAAAAGAAAAACTACCCACAATAACTCATATGGAATCATACCAGTACAAGCATGGTTTGATTTTTCACTGAAGGAGATGCATTTTCTCCTTTTGTTTTCCCAATTTTTCCCAAGTCAGCATAGCTATAGCAGAGGTACAATGATGAGCAAGCTAGTGAAAGCACAAGTGACTGCCTGTGATTTAGCCATGACATCATTAGATATGCACTAACACTCCACCATGGCTATTCCTGGCAGAGCTAACGCAGTGAGATTAACGTCAGCAAAATTTTGGACAAAAACGAGGAAATACATATTAGATGTGTAAATGGTCTTTCTTGTTCCTAATTTCAGTGAACTAACCACCTTTGCTGTAGGAATGCAAGATCTGATATGCCCTGTCCAGCACTAGAAGTGATTTCATTTTATTTACTGATACAAACATAGAAAATTGCATCATCAACCGAAAACATAAACTCATACCAAAACTTTATGGTACAGGCAACATGTCTCTATAATGTATGTCTCTCTGGATGTATATTTATACTTATGTGTACAGACATATACATACACACAGAACAAATTTAGATACAACATGAATTGTAGACTAAGTTTCTGGTGTACATAAGATGGCCATTATACACAGATAGCAATTAAAGGCTCCAATCCAGCAAACACTTATGCAAATAACTTTAGCTGCATAAGCAGTGTAGTCTGAATGAAAAGGATTAATCATGTGCAGAACTACTCATTTGTGTTTGAAGGATAGGGACCCAAGTTTTTAACAGGAAACTGAAAACCACTTATAAGTAGGGACATTTGTAGATCTTAACCCTAATACAGAATAGGTGAAATTGATTTAATTTTCAAAGGGTGAAATAATCAAGCAGAGAACACCCATGTCTATTTTAGGTTAATTTTCACCAGTGAGCCAAACTCCTAGGCTGTGTCTAGACTGGCAAGTTTTTCCACAAAACCATCTGCTTTTGCGGAAAAACTTGCCAGCTGTCTACACTGCCCGCTTGAATTTCCGGAAAAGCACTGATGATCTCATGTAAGATTGTCAGTGCTTTTGTGGAAATACTATGCTGCTCCTGTTCGTGCAAAAGTCTTTTTCCGAAAAACTTTTGCGCAAAAGGGCCAATGTAGACAGCAGAGATTTGTTTTCCGCAAAAAAGCCCCAATCGCGAAAACGGCGATCGGAGCTTTTTTGCGGAAAACCACATCTAGATTGGCCACGGATGCTTTTCCGCAAAAAGTGCTTTTGCAGAAAAGCGTCCTGCCAATCTAGATGCACTTTTCCGAAAATGCTTTTAATGGAAAACTTTTCCGTTAAAAGCATTTCCGGAAAATCATGCCAGTGTAGACGTAGCCCTAATGTAGATGTTGGATTAATGAAGTGTTGCTTTCATTCGTGTAGTTTAATAAACCCTAATAGTACAAACCCCATTTTACATGAGTGCAATATATCTACATTGAGGTGACTGGATTACTATAGCTACGCTGGTGAAAAATAAGGAAAAGATCTTAGTGACCTGAGTTTCTTGTAATAACACAACTGGAAGATAAACTGATACAAATTAGACCTAAACTACTATGAGGAGCTACACACCCTGGTTAAAGAGAGGTGCAAAATCAATATTTCAAATCACTGATAAGTGAGCTCCTAAGTAAATGAGACAGAATATCAAAGAACGCTAGTATATCCAGCTAAGCTACTCTGACACAGGAGCTGGTAATAATATAGTTATACGAAGGCAAACATAAGATACACAGAGCCTTAAACATTTCCATCTTAAGACAAAGTGTCTAGAAACCAGCTGCTCTATTACCGGCCCTACAAATCCCCTCTTTTCCTGCCTGCCCAAGAGCAACAGGCCGCCTGGATGGATGGGTCGGGTGGTTGTGACGTCACGCGCGGCACGCAGCGCCCAGCCGCCGGGCTGGGGGGAAACAAGCTTGTCCGCAGTAGGTGGGAAGGGAGCGCTGCCCGCTGGGGACGCAGCCAGTTTCCAAGAGAGCATAAAGCAGTACGGTCCCCCCCCCCCCCCCCCCCCCACACA